TATTTATAGTATCAAGTATGTTACTTCTTTTTATACATAGGAAGTTTATAGCTTGTCTGCTTATGCTTCTTAGGCAATTGTTAAAATTAAGTGTACGAGTGATTAATGACAATGGCATAGGTTTAGTTTCATTAGTGTATTTCCTAAACCCTGTTGTGTCATGCTTGAGTATGTTCAAAAATAAATATGTCATTATTTATTGGAAATTACATCTAAATTTTGTTCAAATTGCTAACTCTTTTTTTGATCAAATTCAATAATTTTTTTTTAATTAAATACTTATTTACGTACGCGTTTATTTCCCGCGATAAATATGTACAGTAATTCTTCATACTTACATTGCGTGCACGTGAAATCTCGATGCAAAGTGCAATAGACACATTTCCCTCAATGTGTTCGAATTTGTACATACTTGTATAAATTAGAACACAAAGTACTTAGCTGTTAAAATGCATATATACGATAATATACGCGCGCGTACATAGTCTCTCATAATTCTCACAACCACAATTCGTGTTGGTCCATTGGAGATGTTTTACAAAGATATAATAGACACGATAGCACATCTTACACAAGGCTTGCTTGTCTTGCCAGCAGACAATTGTTACGCGAAATTCGACTAGAAATTCGTTAAAAGAAAAACGAATGAGCCGTTATAATTGTAAAATACACAAATGACAAATTTTATATAATTAGCGCAACCGCTACATTTTTCACGCGCGTGTAGAGAAATATTCATCAAAGTACAAAAATTGAAATTGTGAAAAACTATGCTAATAGGAATAAATACGACCGTGTAAATGATACACATATGTAAGAATGCCAATAATCGGTCAAAATTAGACGTTATAAATACATTATATATATATTCTTAATTTTTTAAATTTTAATTATCTCAGATATGACTGTGTGCTGAATCGTTCGGACATTAACCACAATCGATCTGAGACGCTAATAATTATTTCATAGATAGGAATGTCCGAATATTTCGGCGCCTTATCGTATTTACATTATTAGCGTCTCAGATCGATTGTGATTAGTGTCCGAATGTTTCGGCGCACAGTCACATCTGAGATAATTAAAATTTTAAAAATTAAGAATATATACTGTGGTAATAAGCTACATAATTCTTAAATTTAGCGATAATATATGTATGTACATATTGTATATAGACGCTAAGCGTCAGGGCATGTGCAGTTACATTAAGAATTTATTCGGCTCTGTAAAATAAAAATGTGATGTGATTTAAACGGTTTCGAAATAGCGTTCGCATACATCATAAACTATCGTAAAGGATGCTTTTTTTTATTTACTGCCATATTGTGTCATAGGCCAAAGTTCATAGTCAATTATATTTTAAGATTGTCTTAAATAGTCTTAAGATGTCATAAACCAACATACAGAAACAACCGTACTAGCATCTTAAGACATTACTTAAGATGCTTAAAATAAGAAGCGACTACAAATACCGGCCACGGTCTAGGCCAACAAGAGATTATTATTTGTGACTCAATCCATAAAGAAAAAACATCAATGTAGAAAATATCACATGTACCGCACAAAATACGAAATAATACACACTTGTGAGTCCCTCCTTGCATGAATAGCTATTAATTTTATATTGCATCCTTGCACATATTGCATCTTTTGTCATGTGGTAAAGAGAGAGAGAGATGTCATTAATGTCATGTTTTCTCTAAATATGTGTTAAATTAATTTCGAGATATTTCCGATTGTGATATTTGACAAGTCTATGCATAGATTTTGAATCATTAAATATTCACTGTCGCAAATTCTCGTTCGATGTATTCTTTTATTTCTTCAAGGATGTATTACATATATTCAAAAAATAAAAAAATTATGAAAACATTATTGTAGTAATAAAACGAAAAAATTTAGCGACGATTTAGAACCTAGATAAAAAATTGTTGCAATAAGTAGTCTGTTTTTCATCTTTCCAATGGAAATGTATAGAAATGTATTGTAAAATAATAACAAAAATCTATATTAAATTTTTTAATATTACTTTAACTATTCAAGATGATTTATACAGTTTTATTGCGATGGAGAGATTAGTTCTGTGTGTAAATAAGCAAAATTTATTTACTTATTTATTTAACAAAACGATTAATTTCTGCATTACAATGAAAATTTGTATAAATCATCTTAAAAAGTAGTTGTACAAAAAATTCAGATTTTTGTCATTATTTAAAAAATGTTAACGTTATATAACAAATAATAATACCAAGTAAATAAACTATAAAGTAAATAAATTATAAAAATGTGTCGTTCAATAAAAATAGAATGTTATAGACATAACTTTCATATGTATATAGTTTATTTAAAGTATAAAAATTAACACATTAAAATGTAAAAATGAGTGATACATCCTTAAAGCATTAGAAATAAACGCAAGCTATAACAAAAGATTATTGCGTCTGTTAAATTAGAGCTAGACGACAGGTCCGAAGCCCAGCCACAGGAAACAACAACCACATTCGATTATAAGCGAATTTAATGGAAAGGACATAATGTCGCAGCGATATGTTCGCACGTCCCGTTGCGATTCCAATGTTAATATTAGTTGGAAATTTCTTTTATGACGGACTTCTGTTCAAGTTTCATTAAGTTAGCCGCTAAGAAAGTTCATGCAAGATTGCGGAAGGCAATCGCCGTGTTTCAACGTCAAGAAATCGTTTCTGATTTACGGAGACACGAGAGATGGTAGATTCTTATATATATATTCCTCTCGACTATGTATAGATTTTCCCAATAGCGATGTTCCATATTACCTCGACAATATTTGTCGCGATATCTTGCTAGAAAACATCGCGCAGAATAATTATAGCGGCAAGTCGATGAATCATCGCTGTAAAAAATATCCATTTGCTCCAAGTATGAGATAGGTGTCGAATGGTTGCTGTAATTATTGCGAGCGATATTTTTTTAACAATATCGACAAATAGAAAATACGACATCGTCGCCCAGCCGTACTATGATATAGTCCGTTTTTTTACACAAGTAAAAGATATATTTTATTATAAAAAAAAAAATAGAAAACCTAGTGATTGCAAAAAGTAATTCGTATATGGGAGACATACATCTTTAAAAAAAAACTTTATTTTTAGAAAGTAAACATTAATTAGCAATTTATTAACAAAGAATAAAATAGATTGTGTATTTCTCAAAATTATTTTACCTAAAAAGATGTAATAATCAAAACATATTTATGTAATAATAAGTAAATATATATAAATTATATAATAAGTAAAAAATTGCATTATTTGGACAAAAAATATTCGTACAGTCGAAAATTTAGCTTCTTAAAATCATGAACACGATTATTTTCGCAAAGCTCTTTCGTTTGTATTAGGAGAGAATATACTCATTGTTAATAAAATGCTAATTAACGTTGTTTTTTTCTACAAATAAGGCTTTTTAAATCTTCCTTTTTAAACGTATGAATACATATATTGCATTCACTGTATTTATAAACTTGTTGCAGTAACAACTGAAGATATATTGAAAAAGTCCAATGTATTTTCAGTTATTACAACGACAGGTTGTTCAGAAATTGAAGAATCGACCTCTCTATGTAGTATATGCTAACGTTCAAGCCTTTTACGCTAAATTAATAGAATGAATATATATGATCGCTACGCGTGTGGCAACGTATAACCGATGATTAATTGTCATGTAAATATAACAGAAGGTAACGAAATAAAAGTAACAAAGTATCGTTACTTGTAATATCTGAGTATTTATAACAATATCTGAATCAGGTACTCTTTTTCTCTTCTCAATCGCGCTAAGACGTTTTGTGATTTCCTTTTTCGACTGCGCGACACTACAAAAGTCATATAAAAGGAGAAAATTTGTAAATGTACGCATACGAGGGCTTGAGGCAATAGGATATTAAGCCACGCAAAAATCTCAGCCTGTGCTCTTTAACGTAACTAGAATATTTAGGTCCAGCAGATGACCCTGGAACATCTTTCTAATTTTCAAATAGTATAACGATTTTTAATAATTTTATGTTTCACAATCTCATTTTTCACAATTTTGTTCTAATCATATAGACTAATTATTGTATATTATATTTATATTAAGTTTAAGTATTGCAATTTTCAAAGAAAATAAATTTAATAATTAAAAAATTTAGTACTTTTCAAAGATCCATATGTTCCAGAGCCACAAAACCGTGTTCCTGTAATAGGTTAATCGAAATCGATATAGTCTCGACAAAAGGAATCTTGTAATTACGCCAGGAATGATATAAAAGGACAAGTGTAGATATTGTATAATAGTTTACTCTCGTACGATTTGTGGAATTCCTTTAAACTGTCCTCGTGACTTGCCGTATTATTGCCTCAAGTACTTTGTCTTAAATTTTAAATATTAAGTGGTAGTGAATCATGGAAAATTATTTATTAAAAACGTAATATTTGTGACGTTTGTAGATAATTATATAAATAATAAATAATTTATGAACTTAATAACGCCGTAGGGTATAGTATAATTTGTATTTACCGTTGTCTATAAAATTAGCAGATATCTTGTAAAAATGTGTACTTTTTAGTATTTTAAACGTTATTATTTCTAGATGTAATTCTTCTATTTTTTAAATATTACAATATAATATAAAATTCCATAATTTGAAAATTATCTTTTTTGCGCTGAACGATTAGATAGATTCTAATAGATATGTATACATACGTTTATTATAACAAAGGCTAGCAAAATGCAATTGCGTCGAGTTTATATCTAAAGTTTAGTTCTTTAAACTGCATTACGAAAAAAAGAATTATCGGCAACGACAAAAAATTGTTACCCTGAATAGAAAATCATAATCGAATTGTATTATTGTATTATTGAGAATGTGAATTTCATTCAATAAATATCTTAATCAAAATTCATCGATGCACATGTTTGTGTTTGTATAAATCGAACCGTTTCACAGGAGACTTGACGGGCGGAAATCAGATAAAGCAAAGATAAAAGTCGTGCGGATTTAGATTTATTTACGAAATGCGTTTATTTTTACACAAATTTTTACACAATGCTTAAGTGATCAAAATGGTTTAATGTAATTCGAGTACAATCAGAGATCTAATACGTTAAGCACTATATCGGGATGTCGCTATGAGGATGTCTTAATCTAATGCACACTTTTTTTTTCTTCAAATACTAATAATGATATAATGATTTGTTATGTGTAACATTAATGACGAAAAGAAGACAGTAAATAGCGAAGGAAAAAGGAACGCTAATGAATGGTGTCTAATCAAAATTATTTAACAAAATTGTCGGAGCGTAAATTAAATTGCATAAATTCGTGAATATCCCAGTAAGAGTAAACCAAAAAGCCGTGTCAAGTGCTTCGTGTTCCGAAGAAAAGGGGGAAAAGAAAAAATAAAAGTGGCTCTCTAATTTGCGTATTGTGAAGTCGACAATCAAAATTCGTGTCTTACAGAAATTTCTCTTATAGAGATTTAATATCAAAAGGTGATGATTAATTATTTATTTTGAATGTTAAAAGCACACACTGAACAAGAGTGCTTTTAACACTCAAAACAAATAATTCATCACTGGCAGTGTTCAAGCCGGACGAAGCAACATTCGGCCTGCTCGTCGAAATAAATGTGATTGATTGAATCTACCAATCACATTCGTTTAGCGAACAGGCTAGCTGCTTTGCCAATGTGAACACGGCCACTACCCTTTGAGTAAATGAGTCAGCACTGAATTGAATTTCGGTAAGGGTTGAAAATGAGAATGATCACTGGAGGGTAATACTACTGCGCGTATCTCTATGCAAAAGTAAAACAATATAATAGAGCTTGGAATGAAAGTGCTTCATCCATGACGATTGCGAACGATCATTAATAATAATTAATAATAATAATAGTAATAATAATGGTTGTAATGAACGGTATGTATGCGAATTACATAGCGTCTCTTAAGCACGCTCGCCACGGATTCGCCGGGCCAGCTGGATGTCTTTAGGCATGATCGTGACGCGCTTTGCGTGGATCGCGCACAAATTGGTGTCCTCGAAGAGACCAACGAGGTACGCCTCAGACGCTTCCTGGAGAGCGCCGATGGCGGCGCTCTGGAAACGCAGATCGGTCTTGAAATCCTGCGCGATTTCACGAACCAGCCGCTGGAACGGCAGCTTCCTGATCAGCAGCTCAGTCGACTTCTGGTATCTACGAATTTCTCGAAGAGCCACGGTACCAGGCCTATCATGGAAATTACAGAAATGCTATTAGTCATGACAAATCCGAGTTTAGAGTCACCGAGATTCGAGCGTCATTTCAACGTTTTGAGATGCATCTTTTATTTATTTATTTTTTTTTTCATACCTGTAACGATGCGGCTTCTTCACGCCACCGGTGGACGGAGCGCTCTTCCTGGCCGCCTTCGTCGCGAGCTGCTTACGGGGAGCTTTTCCTCCTGTTGACTTACGGGCCGTTTGCTTGGTACGCGCCATGATTCAACCTATGACAACAATTGTCGGACTAAGATCTGTTTTTTATAACAACCAAGATCTGTTCTTTTTACTTGAACTTCTTGTACGATTCTTCATCTTTTCTTTTTTTCTTTCCATCGCATCGATGCAAAAAGTTCAGTTAAAAAGAATAAGTGTACGCTCTTTGTACTTAAAGTGGCGTCTACAAAGAGATTTTAAATCCGTTCTTATTTCAAGAAGGTCCTAAGTAAAATCTTAGACTGGTATTACATTTGTCGTACAACAAAAAAAACGGATGGATGTAATATTAGCTTTTAAAATGTTAATACTTATGCGGCCATTTGATTGATTCGTGATACCTTAGGAGGTTGTAAGGCAAATGCAATATGTTACGAAATACTCGAAAAAATTATAGATTATTCTAAATTACATTTAAAAGTAATACAAAAAAATTAGAAACAGTTAACCATTTGGATCAAAAATTATTTCAATAAAAAGTAATGTTTTTTAAATTTGTATTCTAATAGAAATATATGAAAATGTATTGTAAAATAATGATAAAAATCTCAATTTTTTTATATAAATACTTTCTATATGAATTAAAAAATATTTATGTAGTTACATTGAGATACAGACATTAATTGTTCAGTAAACAAAATATTTATTTGTTACAAAGTAATTGGTGAAGCTCTACGAAACTTTGCACAAGTCATTTTTAATATTTGAGATATTATACAAAAAAATTTTAATTTTTGTTATTTAAAAAATTTTTGTTTATAATAATAAAACTAATATAAAATAAATAATTTATAAAAATGCGTTGCTCAATAAAAACACAACTTTCACATGTATGTAGTTTGTTTAAAGCGTAAATATTAATATCTGTACTTTATGCCCTTACAACCTCCTTAAGACTGTACTTGAGACAGTTTTAAATATAAGAATCGACTATGAATAGCGGGCTAAAACGTAGTATTCATAGTCAAATTTATTATATTTTAAGACCGCCCAAGTATAGTCTTAAAATGTCATTAGGGAGTTTTTGCAATCTACCGTTTATCCAAATATGGTGAACGCTAAGGTCAGGTTATCTTCTTAACAACTAATTAAGAAAAGGATAACGTGACTTTAGCGTTATTGCAAAAACTCCCTATTAAGGCACTCCAGCCATATTGAATTGTGACGTCATAAGCGATACGTTGATTTTTCTTGCATGCCATTTGTACATAAAGAGAATTTGGATGAAATGACGAGATCGCTTTAAAACACTTGAAAAAATGGACGAAAATTATCCTTATCTCTCTTGACAGTCAATAAATACTGTAAATTAAGTCGTAAAAGGCACGTAAAATGCGTTTATTAGTTTTTACTCAATGCGCATGCGTAGCCTATTTTCACTTCAAAAGCCTTTTTCGACTCTTTACTGACTATCGGGGGAGATAAGGTGAGTCTTGGTTCATTTTTACAAATGTTTTAAAGCGATCTCATTTCGTTTCATTCAAATTCTCTTTATTTATAAATGGTATAACGTAAGAAAAATCAATGTGTCATTTCTCGCTTATGCTGTCAGGATTCAATATGGCTGAAGTGACTACTCAGGAGCCTTAACTAATAAGAGAGCCGTATTAGCATTTTAAGACATTATTTACAAGATGGTCATAAAATAAAATGGACTATAAATACCGTTCGTAAAATTGATAAAATTTTAAGAGTGATATTCATAATTCGTTATTTCAAGGTTCATATTTCAGTCTTGAGCAATGGCTGCATTCAGTACTATGACCGCTTACTCAGCACTGAGTGAGCAGTCGTGCTTCTGGATACATTTAATGTCTTAAGATACTGAGAACCGATTGTTCCACCTTTTGGTAAATTTTACCTGTTAGGTAAATCTGGCAATCTGCGCACGTGATGTGATAATCTTGCTACTTACCCAACAGGTAAAATTTACCAAAAGGTGGAACAACCGGGCCTATTACGAATTAATCATTAGTTCGTGACATCTTAAGACCATATCCAAGAGTCTCAAATATAAAAATTAATTATGAATATTGATCTAAGCCTTAGGGGCTATGCATAATGAAAAAAATATTAGGGATAGGAATAAGTAGTAAGATTTCATCTCTTATGAGAAACCAACAGTTAAGCCCGATGTCCACGATGCTGGAAATCAGTCCGAAATCTCGGACAGAGAAAAAATTAATAAATCACATTTGAACAATTTGATCACATGACCATTGCTATTGGTCAATTCCTTCTTTATGCGAGATCTCGGTCTGATTTCTAGCATCGTGGCTTTACACCAGAATATATACTTTCTTAAAAAAATAGGTTAAAATCTTAATATTTATTCCTTTTTTTTTCTTTCCCCGAATATTGCCTTTTTTGAGCATAGAGCCTCAAGCTGTAAAAAATTAATCAATTCGAAACACGATGACAATAGTCGTGTAGTAATAATTAAACCTTAAGATCGATCAATCACAGTGAAATGTGAGAAAAATAATTAATATAATCAGTCAATTTCTTAAAACTTGATGGGTTTCCTACAATAAGCTTCTAGTTTTATGCCATAAGAAACTAATCAATTTGTAGTCGATTATTCTCCTCGCATTCGACTGTTATTGGTCAATTTTTTATGAGTTAAGGTTTAATAAGGGCCGGCAGAAGTACGAATGATGAGAAAATGCATTTGCGGTGCTGATATATGTACATATATTTGCATTTTTTTACTATAGGTCTGTTCCTTTTAACTAAAGTTCTTGCACGGCTCATCTTTCTTCCTTTTATCTCCGTTTCTCTGAGAGAAAAAGAGAAAAGATGAACCGCGTGCAAAGAAGTTGAGCTAAAAAGAACAGGCTACATATTGTCTTATAAAAGAAATATTTTGTCATGGAACTTGTTTTGGCTTGTATTTTACGAACTATGAAGCCCGCCAAAGAGCCGAAATTTTAAATTTCGCGATCGGTTAAGTGTGAACCGTGATTGATCAATTCTGATGAACAGCAAATGCGATTGGTCAGTTCTCCGTTGTAGCAATCAGGCGAATAAGTTGATAGAAGATAGTGAGATCGGCCCATAATCTACTTATAAATTACTGACGGTGCAGATATAAATAAGATCTAGTGAGATATCAAAACGAATTTCTATTTTGCATTTTCTTTCCCAAAAAAAGTTGCTCTCTAATAAGATGCAAGTAATTCTCCTAGTTACGAATATCGCAAGTATATTGCAATTGTTTCAACATTTTAGTCATCATTTGATAATAAAAGAAATTCGTCTCCATCATCGATCCTTAAGTTTTACATTTTTAAATCTCATTGTAGACGCCGCTAAAGTGAGATAAGTATATCTGATAGTTGATAAAAGCAAAAAAGAAAATTCTAACGCAAAAAAATCCAGTATAACAATAAAAAAAACTTATTCCGTGAAACGTTAAGATTTCTTAATTTCAAGAGATTTCTTGTGGATTTCCAATAAGAAAAAAGGAGATTTTTGCATGGTACGCTCGCGTATTTATCTTTCGTTGGACTCGATTTGTTGTAATTTGCATAGAATTGGAGACGGGCTGTAGCGATTGGCTGCATTCAGCAGAAAAAGCCGATTAGCTTTGCAACTATTGTCAAGTTTAATCCGATTGATTTAGATCCAGTGAAGAATCAAGGACAATCTTACCTTGACACATCAAGGAATTTTATAATAATTATCTATTAGTAAAGCGGCTTTTTTTGCCAGAACGCAGTCAATTGACATTTATCAATTCCTAATCGGCAGTGCCGAGTAGCGATGCTTAGAGCGGCGGGTAAACTCCAAAAGAACGGGAAAAGTACACGGTGAGTGCAATGATGGTGGGGATGGTAATAGGAGGCGCAAGGTGGGGGTGTTGCGTGCAATTCGCCGTCGTACGCGGGCGCACGTACGATTTGGCAAGATTGTACGCGCACCGAGCAAACGCCACGCGTTGCGCAATGTTAAGGGAACGGGAGGGAGGGGGGAGAGAAGAGGGGGTGGGGAGGGGGGAAAAAAACCACGCGTTGTCAGCCGAGGGGATTAAGGAATTCGCGGCAGCGAAGAGCAGCGTCGTCCCAAGTGATTCTACGGCGACGATGACGATGTTCTCGCGGAGAAATCGGCTCGTATCGACGACACCGCGCGCGGGGCTAAAAACCAGGACGACGATCGCGGTTTTAATCGCCGTCGCGGTGCGTTTCCACATCACGTCATGTCTGTCGCAAAATGGTGGCGTACGGCGGTGAAAATCCGAGGGGAAACACTTGACGAAATCCCAACGCGATTACACGTTTCCAGGTTGCCGCGCAAGTAATCGCATTCGTATACACACGCACGCGTAAAAATGATGATCGGGACGAGGATCCGAGAGTGGATTTACGCTTCACCTACCTGAGACGAGTTATCGGATACGAGCGGGGACGCGAAGCGAACTAGATACACTATCAGTTTTCTCGCACACTCCGATGGGATGGCAGTGGACGCTGACGCTCTCACGACTCTCGAGTCCACGGCTGGCTCTCTCCGCTCTCGCGCCACTCTTCCCTACCGCCCCTCGCCTTACTTGCCTACCTCCCCCCCCCCTCCCGCTACCTACCGCGGGAAATTAAATCGCGCGAGAGGCACGTAGGAGCCCGCGGTGTGCCGGCGGCCAATCCGACGGCGGGCCGTTGGCCGGCCGGCGCACCTCATTGGTCGCCGGGTGCATCGAGTGCAGCGGCGAGTGCCCTGTCAATCGCTCGCGGCTCGAAATCGTAGGTAGCTGGTAGATATGTACGTACATACTACGCTCTCTCTCGCTCTCGCTCTCTCTCTCTCTCTTCCCCCCGTGCCTACTGCCTACCACTACCACGGGTCGTCGTCCCATCCTTCGTTCCACTCCACGCTCGTACCGTCGTGTCGTACCGACGCGACGATTCCACGAACCGCGCCGCGAGGAAGAACGCGGACAATGTCGCGACCCGTGTGGAGACAGGAGCGCAGCCTGCTCGGCTCGGTCGTTTCGCGGCGAAGGGGTTAAGCGGGTTAAGCCGAAGCGAGGGGAGGGGTGGGGAGGGCGGAGGAGAGTTGGATCGATCGATGGACGCCGCGGAAATCTAATGAGTTTTCAGGGATGTAACTCGTATATGAGAGAGCGGGCAGCCGATTTCCAGACGCGACGCGAGCGAGATCAATAACGTAGAGCGGTAGAGCCGCGAGATTGGCGAGAATCGAGAGCGGAGAGCCCCTCTCGCAACGTCAGGCGTGTGGCCGCGTGTCCATGCGCGCGTATTTACGCGTTTACGCATCCCGCCGCCGCGCACGCCAATTAACGAGGACGTAGCTGCTTCACGCTCGCGCGTAACCGCGCTTTTATTCGGACAACGGTACTCGAGTAACGCGTCCGACGGTAATAGGCTTGCAAACTTTTGCAGCGTTTACCTTTCTCTCTCTTCTACGACATGGAAGGGACTGGAAAGAACAAATAAATCTATTACATTCGTATAAAAGTAAAATAAGAATCGCGCGTGCACGCTATAAATGTAAATAAATATGACCGCGGAGGAGAAGAGGTGGGGGGGGGGG